ACCCCTGTTGCTGCGCCCTCCTCCACGGCTCCGAAGCTTTCCCCTCCACCACCCGCAGTCTCCGCCAGTGAAGGGGCTTCCTAGTGTGTGGAAACCTTTCCTCCTTCACAGCTCCCTCCCACTGGTGCAGGTCCCGTCCCTATTCTTTTGTCTCTGTTTTTTCTTTTTTTTTTTTTTGCCCTACCCAGGTACGTGGGGGGTTTCTTGCCATTTGGGAGGTCTGAGGTCTTCTGCCAGCATTCAGTAGGTGTTCTGTAGGAGTTGTTCCACGTGTATGTATTTCTGGTGTATCTGTGGGGAGGAAGGTGATCTCTGTGTCTTACTCTTCCGCCATCTTTCCCTTGTCCTCCAGCCGTTTCCACTTTAAATCACTGGGATAGAATTTGCTAAACTCAACAGATGGTGACCCAGACTCAGGTTAATTAGGAAGAAAGGTGAAACCAAGGATTATAAATAAAAGCCACATACAGACTGGAGAGAAAACTAAGAATCCACACGGATAACTAAGACTCTGGATCTGCAGCCCACTGTGGCCTCAGGGCCCTTGAACTGGCCATAGCCTCAGCTGGGAACTCTCTCCCTCTGCATCACTTGCTCCCTAAACGCCTCCAGGACTTCACTCCAACGTCCTGCCTGACTTTGTTTTTCTCCATGGAACATCTCACTGCCTGACTTTGCCTGTATTTTACTTATTTTTCTCTGTCTCACGCCCCCAGGCTGTCTGCTGCATGAGAATGGAGACCAGGTGTCTGGAGCCTGCCCAGCACACAGTAAGGCCTCAGTGAACGTGCACTGGGTGTGTGGACGCTGAGGCCACGGACGAGAACGTTGCAGGCAGTGATGGTGAGAGCCGTTGATTCACTGCTTGCTGAGCCCCCTGTGTGCCCGCCCTGACCTGGGCAGCGGGCCCGGCACTGACGGAGGTGCACAGTGAGCACACGGCCTGTTCGAAGGCCACGTGCTGTGGGGACATGCAGGACTCGGGGAAGTCAGGAGGGCAGGGTGGGGGGAAGAGAGATGGGAGACCAGGGCGTGCGGGGCCTGTGGCCCCTGCGAGGGCCGTTCTTCTGCGTGCACAGCCGGGGGCCAGCCTTGAGCACTGTGCAGGAATGAAGTGGCTGAGGGCTGGGGAGGCTGTCCGTGTAGACTGTGCAGGCAGGGACGGCTCCTCTGAGGAGGTGACATTTGAGCTGAGCCTGAACAGACCGTGTTTCTACCTTCTGTAAACTTGGTGCTTTGTTTTTGCAGGATACCCCCTGTTCTGTGTCACCTCGGCTTGGCCTCCTGCCCCCCTTGTCAGCCCCTGCCCACCCGCAGGAGGAGTCCTTTTAGGGCCCAGTTTTTTTGGGGTTTTTTTTTTTGGCTGCATCTCGCGGCTTGCAGGATCTTAGTTCCCCAACCAGGGATCAAACCCAGGCCCTTGGCAGTTAGAGCGCCAAGTCCTAACCACTGGACCGCCAGGGAAGTCCCCCAGCACCCACTTTTCAAACGCAAACCAAGCACCTCCTGTGTTGTTGGACTCATGCTCTGAGCCACTGTCCACCTGCCCTGCTCCCCAGGGTCAGGCTCCTGCCCTGCTCCCCAGGGTCAGGCTCCTGCCCTGCTCCCCTAGGGTCAGGCTCCAGGCCGCTGGGGCCCACAGCCCAGAGCCCATGAAGTTGCTCAGCGTGGCCGGTCCTCAGCCTCTTCACCCTGCTTGTCGTTCCCTCCGCAGAAGCTGCGATGAAGGCTCCTGTCCGCCTGTCTGTCCGTCCACGGCTCTGGGCTCCTCCGCCTCCTGCCCTCCCCACGCTCCCTGCGTGGTGCGTCCTCCCCCTCCTCCAGGACTGTGAGTAGAAACTCTCTTTTCAGTGGCAGGTGTCTCCTGACCTGCTGGCCTTACTGAACCTCAAATTTTCTACTAAAGATTCTATTTTAAACCAGCCTACAAGACACTTTGCAGACAGAGTAAACAAATGAAGGATAAGTGAACTGTACACCTTTTTACAACATCGTCAAGTTTAATAATTTTTAGAACTCATTTTCCCATAAAATCACAGGCTCCATCAGGGTGGAGAGTGTATAAAAATCACGTGGACAGGACCAGACACCTGTGAGGTCCTAACTATCCATCTCCCCAGACTGAGGGCTCAGGCCCAGGCTTGACCAAGGCCCAGTCTCTGCCTTTGCACCGTGAGTGGAATTGGGTTTGTTTTCAAATTAAGCTTTTACGCTTGTCAGCTTAGCAGGGAAATTGTCGGTTCTAAACTCATCTTTCCAGCAATAATCAAGTCACATGGGGTGGGAGAAATGGGGAGAGGTTGGTCAAAGGGTAAAAGTTACAGCTCTGCCCGCCGAGTGAGTCTAGAGATGCAGTGCACGGCAGGATGAGTGCAGTTAACGACACCGCATCGTGTCGGGGAGACTCGCCAGGGGAGCAGACTTGAGGTGCTCAGACCGCAACCAAAAAGTGATGGTTGACTGAGCAGATGGACATGTTAGTTAGCTCGCCTGGAGCTCCACTGTGTACACAGACACCAAAACATCATGTTGTACACCTGAAATTCATACAATTTTTATCAAAAATGAGCTTTGTGACGTGAGTGGCCAGCAGCTGTACCCGGATGCTGTGACTTCAACAATGGCAGAAATGACACTCCTGCCAGGATCAGGCCCTGCAAAGGGACAGGCGGCGTTTGCTTCCTCGCTCTTGGAAACCAGCCCCCAGGCTGTGAAGAAGCCCGGCAGCCACATGGAGGAGGACGAGGCCAGCGGCAGCCACATGGAGGAGGACGAGGCCAGCCACCAGCCCAGCTGAGCCCCGGGTGGCAGCCACTGTGAGGGAGGCCTCAGCTGAGGTCACACGCGGCAGAGATGAGCCCAAAGCGTGAAGTCCCGCAGGAGTAAATGATGACTGTTTTAAACCACTGCGTTTAGGGGTGTTGGTTTCACAGCAGCAGGTCCTGAAACGCTGCCGCCCCTCGCCCTCCCCCCATGCCTGCTCCAGGCCTTCCACTTCCTCTCACCACTGTTACAGACAGAATGTTCCTGTCCCCCCAATTCATACTTTGGGGTCCCAGCCCCCCCAGCGTGGCCGTGCTTGGAGACGGGGCCTGTAAGGAGGCGCAAAGATTGAACGTGGTCCTAAGGGTGGGGCGTAAATCAGTAGGGCCGGGATCCTGACATAGGAGGAAGGGGCTCCAGGGCTCCCCCCACCACGTGAGGACCCCGTGAGGAGGAGAGTCCACACCAGACACCCACCCGCCAGACTGTGATCTGGGACTTCCGGCCTCCAGAGCTGTGGGAAGACACACTTCTGTCGTTCAAGCCGCGCAGGCTGTCGTGGCAGCCGCTGCACATTCATCATGCACACACCCTCCCGCGGCTCACACCTGCTGGCTAGGGCCGCTCTCAGCAGCTGTGTTCCTAAGTCGGGGAGCAGGGGGGAGGCGGGGGGCATCAGCCAGGCCCCCCCCCCGTTCACCCCTCTCAGAGCAACCGCTCCCTCCACCGCCCAGCATGGGTCAGTCTGCAGCTTCGATTTCTTTGAATCATGGTTTGATGGATGCTCCTCCTCCTCCCGGGTCTGCACGGGGCCTGGCACACATATATGCGCCATTTTTAGAAAAGACGCTGGCCTTGACCGGGAAGGTAAGGGCACCCTTTGACCCAGATGTTCTGCTTCTGGGTGTAAACGCCAGTGGAACGTGGAGCATGGCTGGGCGGTGTGTCCCCGGGGCCCGGGCTAGAACAGGCCTTGCGTGTCTCATCAGAATGGGTGCATGTGGCCCGTCCACACAAGGGACACTGAGTGGCTATGGGAATGCTGGAGCCAGGCCACCCCGGGCAGCAAGGAGAGTCTCCCAGGCAGCCAGTCCCCAAAGAGGGCACGTGTCACAGTCCATGTGAATGAAGTAACACAGGCCAGCCCAGCGCATCGGCTGAGAGGTGCCCTCCTGGGAGTCAGACTATGAGGCCAAGCAGGGACAGGAGTGTCACAAATGTCAGGGCACCGTCACCGCAGGGAGAGGGCTGTTTGCAGGAGGGCCGCACTGGAAATGCCCATTTACTGACTCGGGGGTCAACACCCGTGTCTGCACTGTAGTGGAGCTTTAAACTGTGTGCAGCGCACGCGCACACACGTGTGTAGATAAGCTTTGTATGTCCCCTGTGTGTACATCAAGGTTTAATGGAAAAAATGAACAATTGTTCAGCAAAGTGGTGAGACGGGGCCCCCTAAAACTGGGCCCTATTTTTAAAAGGGGGACAGAGCCCCCAGATGCTCCTCAAACATCCAGGCCCCTTGTCACAGGTGGACAAACCTGGGCTCCCTGGCAGCACCCCGCTCCCCGACCTCACTGGTAGCAAGTGAGTGACCAGCAGGTAGCTCCCAGTTGCCTGAGTGTAAACTCCTTTTCCAGAAGGACCCTGGACTCCCTGCCCAGCAGTTCCAGGTGGGCATCAGCACGCACTAGCAGGGCCTCAGTGCCCCGATGCTGGCAGGTGATGAAAACCAGGGTGGCCCGCAGACCCTGTGCTCTCTGCCTGTCGCGGGCCAGCGACAAGGCCAGCCCGGCCCCCTGTCAGCTGGAGACTCTCCACAGCCGTCCTCAGGACAGTTCTCAGGACGGGGGACGCGCGGTTCCTCCTCCAGCCTTCCCACCCCTCAGGGCCGTGGGAGCGAACTTGTCTTCGTCTGCTTACTGCTCTCTCTTCCTCCACGAGGACTAGGAGTGTGTTAGGCGCACCGCAAGGTCCCCAGTGCTAAGACTGGCAGAGGCTCCCAGCTAAACGGCTGAGGGGCAGTGACGCAGCAGTGCCAGGAGCCCCGTGTCCTGGGACGTCCTGTGTCTGAGCGGCCAGGATGCCCCAGGGAACAGGAAAGGACCCTGAGCAGACCTTCCTGGTCCCTGCCCAGTCCCTCCCCTTACTGCCTGCCAAGCGACCCCAGAATGTCACTCAACCTCCAGGAGCCTCATCTGTGGATGAAGGGTGACAGGAACAATTAGCCCCAAGAATGTGGAAGGAGTGAAGTCAGACACCCGGCCCGGAGGGGTTGACGGATAAAGCTGCTTCTCTCACCAGCTGCCTGAAGGTGTAACCGAGGATGTGAGCTCCCTGCCACTGGGCGGTGCTCGTGGGCAACTCTGCAGGGCTGGAGGGAAGGGTGACTTCTGTGGTGGGTGATGCAGGGCCTGGCACCGGGCAGGCTCCAGGGAAATGTTTGCTGCCTGCACCTACGACGGAGTTGGCCCAACCTCACATGCTAATAGCAGAGTCACATTTAAACAAAGGACGGCGCGTTCAGAGGACACCCTTGCTGGTCCTACAGCAAAAGAGTAATGCATGACGCAGAGAGGGGGTGGGCAGAACTCCGGTGGTGACACCTGTGTGGGCGTGGGGCGGCATCAGTGTGGACAGGGCGGCAGGCGGAGGGAGCATCCCGGAGCCCTCTAGTTTCCTGCCCAGGAGGATGAGAACCAAAAACAAGATGACTTTCCAAACTGGTGTGAATGGATGCAAGGTCACAGAAGCAGCCTCATAGCCCTTAACCCACCCCCAGGGCCCTGTCCCCAGAAGGTCGTAAAGAATCAGGTTGAGGCTTTACATGTGCACGTGCTCAGGCCAGAGATGCCTTAGTTTGGGCTGCCCTAGCCACACCTGGAGATACAGATTCTGGCACAAGGAGTTTATTTGGAGGTGAAGGCAAGGGTGTAGGGAAGTGAGAAGAGGAAGAGAAGGTGACTAATTATGGCTGTTATCAAGCTGCCTGCTGCTGTGGAGCCCCCACTAGAGGACCCCCCCACTGCAGGATCCCCCTACTGTGGGCAACAGGAATCGGCCCACTAGGGAGCCTGGGAGCCAGTGCAGAGAGGTGGCTGGGGTCCTGGCTGTGTCTGCTCCTTGGGACACTAAGCCTCCACACTGCAGCCTGCCCCAAGGAGGCCAAGGGGTCTCCAGCAGCAGAAGTCCCCAAGCAGAGAGGTGCTGGCATTTGGAAGTGAGAGGAGGCCAGGGCGAGGGGCTCTGGCAGCCAGCACTCCCTGGACTGAGAGAGAGCCTCCTGCTGTCCTTATCATAAGACCATGGATAACTGACCCACCGTGTGGACTTCAGAAGGTCAAGGGTACATGTGATCGTCTTGTCACCCTTGCCTTGCTTCTGTAGTGGATCCTGCAGACTGAGTCGTTCAACCTGTGTGCCACCCCCTCCTTTTGTCTCTGGAAAACCTGAAATCTATATTTCCCAGACACCCGTGCAACTAGGGTTCTGCAGGTGGCCTCAGCTCCTCTGGACAGAAGCCTGCCTGCGATCTAAAAGGCAGAAGTGAGCAACACAGGGTGGTGGAGGGATGGGGCTCCTGGATGGCAGGGAACAGAGGGGTCTGGTTCTCGCACAGCAGCAGCCCCAGTGTCTGGGCCTGAGCATCACAGACATTGGGGTTTCCATAGCAACAGTCCTAGGTGGAGTCAGGGGATTGTCTAGGCTGTGTTGTACCTGGCTATGGGGCCTCCACTCTTGGTTCCCTGGTAGTCCTGGAATCTCAGTCTTAACACCCAGGAATAAGGCCCCTCTGCTCAAACCACAAGAAGTGGATTCTGTCATCTGTAACGAATCACTGTGACCGATACAAATTCAGATTCTGAAGTCACCTCCATTGTTCTTCCTGTGCGAAGAAATACAGGAAACTTAAGAAAAACAAGTAAAAATCATCTGTTATCCCACCATCTGGAGGTAATTGCTGTAATATTTTTGCATGTTTCCTATTTTTTTCTATAGGCAAAATGACACAGTTTGTATTATTCTCTGCCAGCTTTGCTCACTTAACGTGGATTATAAATGTGTCCCAGTAGCTTTGTCCATGTGGCCTTCAGCTCCCTAGACCAAATCAGGTTCTATTCACTTTTTTAAACCACCATATTGATGTACAATTGACATAGAAAAAGCTGTAACTCTTTAATGTATACAACCCGATGACTTTGGAGATAAGCACGCATCTGTGAAACCATCACCAGTCTATGCCATAAATACATCCATCAGGTCCAAGTTTCCTCCACCCTCGCTATTTATTATTGTGATAAGAACACTTAACGGGAGATCTACCCTCTTAGCCAAGCTCTAAGTATATAACATGGCATTAAGAACCACAGGCACCGTGCCGTGCGGATCTATAGAACTTACTCATCTTGGGTACCTGACACTTTGTACCCTTTGACCATCACCTCCCCGTTTCCCTCCTCCCCAGCCCCGAGCAACCACCCTTCTACTCTCTTCTAAGGGTTTGGCCGTCTTAGATCCCTCATATAAGTGGTACTATGTAGTATTTGTCCTTCTGTGTCTGGCTTCTCTTAGCATAATGTCCTCCATGTTCATCCATATTGTTGCAAATGGCAGGATTTCCTTCTTTCTTTAAAGGCTGAATAATATCCCATTTTGTGTATATACCACATTTTCTTTAGCCGTTCATCAGGCAAGGCACGTTTAGGTTGCTTCCATGTTTTGGCTGTTGTGAACAATGCTGCAGTGAACACGGAGTGCGGATACCTCTTTCAGATCCTGACTTCAATTCCTTTGTGTGTATACACAGAAGTGGGATTGCTGGGTCATCTGGTAGCTCTGTTTCTAATTTTTTGTCTGGCCTTGGTGTCAGGGTAATGCTGGCTTCAGAAAATGAGTTTGGAAGTGTTCTTTCTTCCATTTTTGGAAGAGTTTAAGAAGGATTGGTATTAATGCTTCTTCAAATGTTGGGTAGAATTGCTTGTGAAGACCTGGCCCTGAGTTTTTCTTTGCTGAGAGGTGTTTGGTTACTGATTCAACCTCCTTATTTATTATTGGTCTGTTCAAGCTTTCAATTTCTTCACGGTTCCGTCTTGGTAAATTGTATGTTTCTAGGAATTTATCCATTTTTTCTCAGTTGTCCAATTTATTGGTATATAATTGTTCATAATAGTTTCTAATTTTTTTTTATTTCTGTGACATCTGTTGTAATGTCTTCTCTATTATTTATGACTTTATTTATTTGAGTCTTTCTTTTTTATTTCTTAATCTTGCTAAGGGTTTGTCGATATTGTTTTATCTTTTCAAAAATCACCTTAGTTTCATCTATTTTTTTCTGTTTTTCTGTTTTCTAATTTTATTTATTTATGCTCTGGCCTTCAGTTTTTTCTTTCCTTCTGCTAACTTGGATCTTAGTTTGCTCTTTTTCTAGTTCCTTGAGGTGTAAATTTAGGTTATTTGAGATTTTTCTTTTGTGAGGTAGGTATTTATTGGTATCTCTTGGTACTTTCCATTTGTCTCAAAATATTTCTAATTTCCCTTTAAGTTTCTTCTTTGATTCAGTGTTATTCAAGAGGATGTTCTTTAATTTCTGTGTATTTATAAATGTCCCCATTTTCCTTCTGTTATTGATTTGTAATTTCATTTCACTGTGGTCAGAAAATACATTTGGGATGATTTCAATCTCCTTAAACTTGTTAAGACTTGTTTTGTGATCTATAATGTGATTTATCCTGGAGAATCCATGTGTGCTTGAGAAGAAGGTGCACCCTGCTGCTGTTGGATGTTCACTATATATCTGTTTGGTCCATTGGTTTATAGTGATGTTCAGCTCTGCTGTTTCTTTACTGATTTTTGTCTGGATGTTCCATCCATTTTTGAAAGTGGAGTATTCGAGTCTCCTACTTTGATTGTATGGCCATCTATTTCTCCCTTTAGATCTGTAGATGTTTGCTTTATATATTTAGGAGAGCTGATGTAGGATGCATATATATTTATTTTTATTATTTATTTTATAACCATTTTAAAAATTGAAGTATAGTTAATTTACAACGTGTTAATTTCAGGTCTACAGTAAAGTGATACATATATATATGTATATGTATATAAATGCATATATATATATATATATATACTTTTTCAGATTCTTCTCCATTATAGGTTATTACAAGATTTTTTATTTTTTTAAATAAATTTATTTATTTTATTTTATTTTTAGCTGTGTTGGGTCTTCGTTGCTGCGTGCGGGCTTTTCTCTGGTTGTGGAGAGTGGGGCCACATCTCGTTGCGGTGCACGGGCTTCTCATTACAGTGGCTTCTCTTGTTGTGGAGCACAGGCTCTAGGCACGCGGGCTTCAGTAGTTGTGGTGCACGGGCTCAGTAGTTGTGGCTCGCAGGCTCTAGAGCACAGGCTCAGTAGTTGTGGCGCACGGGATTAGTTGCCCCGCGGCTTGTGGGATCTTCCCAGACCAGGGATTAAACCCATGTCCCCTGCATTGGCAGGCAGATTCTTAACCACTGTGCCCCCAGGGAAGCCCCTATTACAAGATATTGAATATAGTTCCCTGTGCTATAGAGTAAGTCCTTGTTGTTTATCTATTTTATATATAGTACTGTGTATATGTTAATCCAAAACTTATTTATTTGTATTAAAATTTTTTTACTTTAAAACATTTGTAAAGGTTACTTTCCATTTTTATTTATTACAAAATATTGGCTATTTCCCCATATTGTACAATACATCCTTGAGCCTATCTGACAACCAATAGCTTGTACCTCCCACTCTCATACACCAATATTGCCCCTCCCCCCAACTGGTAACTACTAATTTGTTCTCTATATCTCTGAGCCTGCTTCTTTTTTGTTATATTCGCTACTTTGTTGTATTTTATAGATTCCACATATACGTGATTTCATACAGTATTTGTCTTTCTCTGTCTGACTTATTTCAGTTAGCATAATGCCCTGCAAGTTCATCCATGTTGGTGCAAATGGCAATATTTCATTCTTTTTTTATGGCTGAGTAGTATTCCATTGTGTATGTGTGTGTGTGTGTGTGTGTGTGTATACCACACCTTCTTTATCCATTCGTCTGTTGATGGACACTTAGATTGGTACTATATCTTGACAGTTGTAAATAATGCTGCTCTGAACATTGGGGTGCATGTATCTTTTTGAATTAGTGTTTTTGCTTTTTTTGGATATATACCCAGGAGTGGAACGGGTACATAGATAGTTGTTATATCTTCCTGTTGAGTAAACCTTTTTATCATCATATAATCATCTTCTTTATCTTGTGTAGCAGTTTTCGATTCGAAGTCTATTTTGTCTCATATAAGTATAGCCATTCCTGCTTTCTTTTGGTTACCATTTGTACGTAATATCTTTTTCTATCCCTTTACTTTCCACCTTTGAGCGTTCTTAAAGCTATAGTGAGTCTCTTGTACACAGCATATAGTTGTAGCTTGTTATTTTATCCATTCAGTGACTTTTCATTAGTGAGTATAATCCATTTAAATTCAAAGTAATCATTGATTGATTATTATAGTTATAGTTATTCTTAATACTTTTGTCTTTTAACTTTTCAACTAGGGTTAAAAGTGATTTGTGCACCACCATTACAGTATTGCACTGTTCTTTATTTGTCTGTATATTTACCAGTAAAATTTATACTTTCTTATGCTTTTGTGTGGTTGTTTAGTGGCCTTTTGTTTCAACTTGACAAACTCCCTTTAGCACTTCTTGTAAGGCAGGTCTAGTGGTAGCAAACTCCCTCAATTTTTGTTTGTCTGGGAAAGTCTATCTCTCCTTCATTTTTTTTTTTTTTAATATATAGTGCTATATATAGCACAGTCTCCGGACGCGCAGGCTCAGTGGCCATGGCTCACGGGCCCAGCCGCTCCACGGCATGTGGGATCTTCCCAGACCGGGGCACGAACCCGTGTCCCCTGTATCGGCAGGTGGACTCTCAACCACTGCGCCACCAGGGAAGCCCTAGCCATTATTTCTTTAAATAAGCTTTCTTCTCCTTTCTGTTCTTCTCCTGGAACTCCCATTATGTTATATTGTTTTTCTTGACTGTGTCCTGTGAGTCCTGTGGGCTCTATTCACTCTTTTCCATTCCCTTTTACTTTTGCTCCTCTGAGTAGAGCATTTCAAGTAACCTGTCTTCAAGTTCACTGATTCTTTCTTCTGCCTGATCAAGTCTGTTATTGAAGCTCTCTGTTGAATTTTTCAGGGCAGTCATTGTATTCTTTGCTCCAGAATTTATGTTTTGGTTCTTTTTTTATGGTTTCTATCTCTTTGTTGAACTTGTGATCATGTATTGCTTTTTCTGATTTTGTCTAGTTGTCTGTCTGCATTCTCTTACAGGTCAATGAGCTAAGATGATTATTTTGAATTCTTTGTCAGCAATTCATAGATCTCCATTTCTTTGAGGTCAGTTACTGGAGCTTTGTTTTGTTCCTTTGGTGATGTCACGTTTTCCTGATTCTTTGTGATCATTTTATCCTGTGTTGATGTCTGCACATTTGAAGGAGTAGTCACCCCTTCCAGTTGTTATGTACTGGCCTGGGAAGGGAAAGACCCTCACCTGGCTAGAGATTCTGGGAACCTTTTTAACCTTTTGTATAGATGTGCCCACTCTACTCTTCTCATCCCTCCTTGGGGGGCTAGTTTTAGGATTGTGTGCCTTGTCCTGATACCGTAGAGCTGTGTAAGGTGCTGAGAGCTGCCTATTCCTTTTCTCTAGGGTGTGCTCAGCTAGGCTAGGGCATTGGGTGCAAGCACCACTTCCATCCCTCCTTCTCAAAGGTATGTCTTAGAATTTTGTGCCTTTTCCCTACCCCACAGAGCCATGTCAAGTGCCAGGCATCACCCACCCATTCTCCATAGGGCAGTGCACTGAGTTGCTAGGACAAAGAGCTCAATCCCACTCTGTCCCTCCCTCCTGAAGGAGC